ATATATTTTTCTAAAATACATTTTGACCTTGTTATTTAAATCATAAAACTTAATAAAAATTCTAATATTCTTTTTGAAAAGGGAATTCCATCATCAGTAATATAAATCTGAACTTTTTGGTAAAAAAATCTGGGTTAGATATTTTTCAGTTTAACTGGCAAGTTACATCTTTCTGATTCTTCCAAGATTTATTTATAATACACTTTGATCCAATATTTGTACATAAACAACTTTTTAAATTATGTTTACATAAAAGGAAAAAAATCATGCTTCCTAGTAGAAAATAAACAAACACTTTTCCTGGTCTAAATAATCAAATCTAGAATGATTATTTTTTTTATCTCTTTTCAATCAATGCATGACTAGAATTTACACTTCTCACATATCTAATTTTCATAAACTCATCTTAATTTTTTAATTTCTAAACTTTTACAACTGAATATTCAGATTATTATCTAATCATTTATGAAAGTAATGTGAATAAATTAGTCTTATTGATTACATATCAAAAGTACTGTTAAAAATGAATATTTTCATAATTGAAAAATAACCTTAATTAAATAATTTTTAATTATTTAATTATTATTATTAAATTATTAATAAATTTGTATTAATTTTATCTTTTTAAATTAATTTAAAATTTATATATGTGGATTCTACTGTGTACAGTGGGTGATTGGTTAATGAACATAATCTGTTCCAAGACTTTGTTCGCTATCCGAATTGTTTGTTAACCGATTATCGATTTACCATAGGTTTCTATGGAAATTTGATTAATTCGTTCTGGAGACCCCAAAAAAATAAAAAATATATACTTTCTTACTATGTTTATTCATATATAATAATAAAAATATATATATACACGGTCTTGCATTTTTATTAGTCATGTTTTTTCCATTTGTGGGGGTTAAAGAATCTGTCCAATGTCGATCCAATGCTTTTCTGTCTTCATGATTTTTCAGAAGTAATTAATAGCATTTTAATTATAGAGATCCCTAGGCCTATTAACTTCAACCTGGTTCGGATGCCATTTTAAGATTGTTTTTCTGACATCCTACCACTTCTTCAAAAGATCTTTAGTAGCAGATATCAGCATAAATCCACATTTTCAGAATAAAACATAAAAGAATTGTTTCTGTCAGAAATATTAAAGGCTGGAATTACAAGGAAGAGTTTCAAAGTTCGGGGGAATATTATCTGATCAGTATAATACTGGGTAGAACGTCTCCTGCGCTCTGAAAAGTTTTGAATTGTTGCCTGAAGACAAAGGAAGACTAATCAGTATTCATTATTTTACGTCACTTCTTCTTGCGTTTGTTCAGAGAAGTGTTCGTTATCCGATCATAAAAATCTTTCGCGAAAGTGTTTGTTATCTGATTTGTTCGTTAACCGATCACCCACTGTAATTGAAAAATTTAAATTACACAATAGAATCCACTTATTATAATTTTGGGACTTACCTATATTGAGAATGATAACCAACCAATAACACAGTGAACAATAAAACTCAGGAAACATCTAACTTGTATTTTATGATGCATTAGCTATGCCAGGTAGAAATTGTTCTTTTTCTTGAACATTTCACATTTTGAAACTTGATGATCATTTTTCATTATTATCCTAATATGTTTGTTAGTACACAGATCAAAGACAAAAGTCTTTAATTTTCACAATGACAATTTACATAAATTAACAAAATTGCACAAAAAACAAATTTTAAAATTAAGTTGGCAGGTATGGATGTTTACACTTAAAACACAAAGATTTAAGTAAAAGAAAATGAAAATTTATTTAAAATAAAAGAAAGAAAGAAAGAAAGATAATTACAAATAAGCAATTATTTATTGTGACATTAAAAATTGCAGCTTGGCTTTGTGACAATTATATTTTTAATTTATTTAATTTAAAATATATGCTCTCCACCTTATAGTACTGTAGTGTCTTGTCCCTGTACATCATACTTTTCCTTTAACAGTAGAATCGTTCAGGTCATCTAGCTAACACCTTTTAGGGGAAAATTTTTGAACTGAAATAACCATGACTTCCAGTTTGCATTGGAAGATTCCCACATTTGGTTGCGTCCTTCATCTAACTCCGTTCTCAAGATTAAGGAAAGACAGACAAACAGACAATAGTGGGAATTTATAGGTCTACAATTTTTTTCAAATTGCAGCCCAATATCTGCTTATTTGACAAGGTGTTCAAACAGACTTCTGTCACACATGATGCATTGGTTAATTCACTGGAAGAAACTTTGCTTACCACTGATTAACATTTCAGTAGTAGTTTGACTGATTGCAAATGTAATTTTTCCTTTTAGCTCATCTATGTTCTGAGGTGTTTCATCATGTAACAAGTTTTTTTTTTTACATATCAATGGTGTTTTCTTCAGTTGTAGTTTCCAGTGGCCAGATTGGGGATTTTTGTGGATGCTTCTATTGTTTGAATTTTTGTAACAATTTTGACATCACAGAATGAGTACAGCAACATCAAATTTGGGTACTGGGTATGAAAGGCTTTGGTTGTTTGTTTTAAACTTCTATTTCCACGATAATTATTTACAAAAAAAACCCACCTTTTCAATTGCATAATTCACCATATTTATCATGTGTGACATGGTGCAGACATTGTGACAGAAACTACTGTCAAAAACTCAACCTATGTCATCTGTCATTTCATACGCTACAAATAAACAATTCTATTGTACAAAAGGAAATACAAGCAGTTCCTGTATGCAAGAAAATTTGCATATTTAAATAGAATTTTTCTTTGACCAAAGATTTCCTTGTTTGATAAAAACTTTTTGGCTCTTGGCCAATAAAAGGCCAACAGCTGAATAATTTTAAAAATTTCTATCTGGCATAGCTAATGCATCATAAGATAGGAGGAAGACATTTCTTAGCTTTTGCTAAAAAATGTTTAGTGAGTGAATAAAACCAGAATTTAAAAAAATTCTGGTTTTATTGACTGGCTTTGAAAGAATGTGTTAAAATAATTAAAAAAAAAAAACTATCTGTTTCCTGTATTTGCTTCATGATTGGTTGTTTCACAGTTTCATACCAGGATCGGAATTATCACTTGATTCCCTAATCAAGCAAAATTCTTATCCTGGTATAATAAGTTTGGTATTACTGCAGATGATGATGGCCATTAATGAAACTGCAAAACTATCTATTTCAGATTTATTAATTATAATCATCATCCTCAATCAAAGTAGTACCGTGTCTTCTGTTTTTTACTGCAATACTGTTTTTAACTAGCATATAGCTGAAGAAAGAAATGCTAACAATTTAAACTATTGTACTGTGAGGAAGTGCTTGACACTTATTATACTGATTAAGACTAATAGCAACTCAGTGTTATCAGCCACATACTGAAACTGATAGCATGAAAACACAGCTTTAAAATACCTATTTGCTTAAAGATAACCATTACTGAAGCTTGGAATACAATATCATTAAGTGAAATTTTAAAAATGTGTATTTTAACTTATTGTATATATTTTGAGATTTACTTGTTCTTGTAACATTAAGCAACTGATAACAATATATGTGATCACAATAAGAAAATGCATTGCTATATGTGATTTTATACAATCAATTGTAACTAGAATTTCTTAAATGTCACATAATATTTTATCAATATATTATTATTATTATTGTTTTAATTTATGATAAAAAAAATATTAACAATTTAAATTTTATCATATTCTTATAAAACTTCTGAAACTGATCTGAATGTGATAAAATTATATTTTAAACTAAATTAAAATTTATTAAATATATCTAAATTTTAGTATAAAAATTCATTAACTGAAGTAAATTTAAAATATTCTTTCAAATTATAATTATGTAACAATTCTGCAATAAATCTGTAATACCTGTGATAGTTTAAAATAATATTTAAAACCTACGCTATAAATTAAATTTATACTAAAAAGTTTTCAAAACTAGGCACCACATTGATAAATAAATAAATCATACTACTGCTTATTTCAGGTAATACTTATAATAAAAGTAAAATATCTGACCATCTTCAACTTATTTACTAATAAAACTTAAAAGTGATACAGAATATATACAAGTGAAAGTTTTGTTTGAAAAAAAACTCAAATTAAAATATGCAGAATAATTAGAACAGAAAATAAAAATTTTCACTGAATTTTCATCTTTAAAATACAATCATAATAAAAATAAGATGCCAAAGGAAAAATAATTATTATGAATTCATTGAAATAATCAATTCTTATATGAATTTAATCGGTCAATATGTGTATTTTAGTAGTGTTAATAAAAATATCAGAATGAAGATTAATAATTATTAAAAAATTTACCAAAAACTATTTTAAATTCGACAAAATAGCCTATTTTGTCGAATTTAAATCACCAAACGCGAACTGAATTATATAATCCGAAGTTACTATTTTCATTCATTTGATAATTTGTTAAGAAGAAAAACAAATATTCTTATATATTTTTCTTTTTGCACAAACTCTGTAATACGAAAACAATTAAAAGATTTTAATTAGAATATTGATTGCAAATTATATCAACAACATATTCTTGAAAAGTTAGTTGTTAAAAATTTCTGTTTTTTTTTTAATATGAAAAAGTTGTTTAAACTTTTAGCTAGTAAAATGATTAAAGTATTCACCTTTCATTGTATTTCAATTAAAAAATATTGTGTAACATTCGAAAACGATTTTCAAAATTGTGTCTAATTTCATTAAATCCTTGTTTAAAATCCGATTTAACGCTATTAAAACTTACCATAGATCGAAATTTCCATACAAAATTTTAATTAATTAATAAAGTGTTTCTTGTATCGTAACTACATAGGTGATTTGTAATGAAGTTTTCAGTTCCATTAAAAAAAATATATAGATCAATCTAAGCATAAGTTTATACGTGAGACGTTAATTAGAACTTCTTTGATAAAACCGGCCGAAAAATTAATGTTTTGCGATAATTTATAATAAAAAAATATATATAAATAAATACCTAAAGTGCAAAACGTCGAGTTCAGTAGATCTCAACTCACTATTGAGTAGGAGTTAGGCCTGTCGATGTTAAGCCTTATTATTATTCTACTACTGAAAATCCAATAATTCGTCATAACAAAGCAAAAATATATTTCTGTACAATTAAAAAATCGTTTTATTAGTTTTATTCTACGGTCGAAACCACTCGTTTCTCTTTTAATGTCGAATGAATGAACTTATATCAGAAGCCTTTAAAAAGCGCCAATCCATTTTGTTTATCGTGAAAAATGTATAGTTTTATTTTTTTAGAAAAGTTCAATTTTCTCCATTTCATTTTTTAATTTTATAGTTTAATGCGTAATAAAATAATATAGAAGTTAAAGTGTATTTAACTGTTGAAACATTGTTATCGATATCTATTGTTAATCATACACGCCGGTTTTTTTCTTAAACTAGTAACACGCTGTTTTCGAAATATACATAATAAAAATAAAATTATTTTTTTAATGTTAAAATCATGGTTTTTTCATACAAATTAACGAATTTATACATATTCTTATAGTACGTTATATAACTTATTGCATATTGTATGTGTATTTTGTGAAGAATTTTATCTACATTATATTAACATATGTACTGTACTGTACGTACTGTATGTCTATACAATACATATCTCTGTTGCTTATGTAATTACACAGTTCTTTCGTATATAGATATATGAAACTGTATTTTTTACATTAAATGTAGCGTTACAACATAAGATTTTAATTTTCATTGTGCCATGATAAAAATATTAAAAAAAATTTAGATCTACTTACTATATTCTTGTGTATAAAAACATCATTTATATACTAACCTAAAATTTGATTGGTTTCTTTGTAACAATATTGTCTGTTAAATGACACTTTGAATTCTTCTATAAATAATTTTCAAATTAATGTAAAAAATATTCTGGATTCAAATTTTAGAGTTTTGAATCATGTTTAACCATACAAAATAAATTTTTTTGCAGTCTATTGACATTTTCTGTTGTATCTTCACAATAAATTAATTACATGCTTTTATTTTCATTAAGAAATAGCATAAAGTACTATTACCATATTTCAAAATGAAAACATTCACTTAAATCTAATGATATTTACATACTTGATTAATAAACAATTTTAGTTTAAACCAATCTTATGTTGTACTTACAGAAAAAATGTTTTAATTTTAACAGGTATAAAAATATTTTCTAAGGAAGTGACTGTTTTCAGACATGCTTAAAATACAGAATAATCGGGCTGCTTATGTCCAATTTTGAGAGATTAAAGTGGGGAAAGCTTTTTGAATTTACGTGTATTTTTACATTGTAGGATATTTATTAGTACAGTACATCAATTAACTTTTCAATTTATTAGAACTACTAACATTTTATCATTAAATTTTAGCAAATGCACAAGTTAAGATAAAACAATAATCTATTAATGCATTACTGTACCATGGTATATATAAATAAATCTATTTGATAAACCACCGACATTTTAGATGAAATCAACTCCATAATCTGTTTGTGCCAACAAAAACTAACTTTATAATTCATTTATCTATATGTAGTATTTCAAAATGCTATTCACTTTTCCTTATAACATGTAATACAATATGTCCTAAAACATCTCCAGTGCACTAGTGAGAGATGTTTTAAGACATATTAAATAAAATGAACTACAAATTAGTATCTATTAAATCAGAGTACTGATTAATCCAAACTAAGATATTAATTCAAATCCTTAATACAAAAAATATTTTTAAAGATAATGTAATTTTTAAACTAAATTTAAATGTTCAAAACATTGCTACTCTCTCAGTTTATAATAATAAAAATATTCTTCTAAAATTTTTAATATTTGTCTATTATATTTAATCTAGATCACAGACAAATCTTTTTTTTTTAGAATGTCTTAGATAAAATATAACTAGTCTAAAAATTAACAATTTTTTAAACAGTGACAAATAATATCAATAAGCCATATAATTTTATAGTTAATTTAATGTATAAAATCAAAAATAAAATATAGTAATATTAAAAAAAATCATTCTTAGTAAATTTTCAATAATTTATTACCAAATTCTGATTTTAATTTTAAAAGAAATTAATGTTTTTATGCTTTACTTTTTAAACTTTTACAATCTCAGTTAAATTTTATAAGTATATGTCAAATTAGAAAATTTTTTAATTTTTATATTCTAATGAATTATTGTTAAAAATTTTATGATTAAATTAGTATTTTAAATAAATAAATAAATNGAGACAAAACTTAAGTCTATAAATTTTTAATAAATCTTTCTGTACACTATACATTCAAAATAACAATTTTGTACATGTAGAAATTAAATAATTAAATATTATTAATTATTTTATTAGTTAAACAATTTTTAAATATTGTATATATTATACTTTCCAAATTTTTTGATTTAAAACAGAATATTCATTAACATTTTGTAATTTAAAAATTTTGTTTCTTTAATAAATTAATTTTTAAACTAGTTATAAACTAATTATTTTTCTGTTTTATCCTTATTTTTCTCCATCATACTTTTAGATTTAGAATTTTGATGTTTAAATGTGGCAAAAGAAACACTTGCAGAAAGTTTTTGCATCTTTGGTTTGTTTGATGTAGAAATAGAACCTGATATCACATATTGTTTATTACATCTAGAAGCTGTAATTGGTACTTCTAAGTCTGTTTGATTTAAACTAGTTTTATCTTTATTTCCTGATTTATCCGCCAATATAATAACTTTCTTGTCATTTATATCACAATTATCTAATATATTTTCTGCTCTATTTTTTCTTTCTGTTTCAGAAAACTTTTGATTATCAACTTTTCCACTTTGATTTATTTGATTCAATTTATGTTTTTCAGTTACACTACTCCTAAGAAATGTAAATCTATTTGGATATTTTAACTCTGTTTTACATTTTATAGCCTCACTTTTTGTAATATGAATATTTTTATCCACAATTGTATTCTGTTGTAAATTATATGAAACTGAATCAGCATAAACTAGTGAATCACTTTCTGGAAATTGAAGTCCATAATTTTTTTGGTATATATCAAGACTGTCATTTAAACAAGTTTCAGATATAAGAACTTCAGGATCTTTAAATGTTGAGATCTTTACATCAGTAGCTGGACTATCAATCATCTTTCCTGCCATGTTTACAGTAGAATCTTGTTTTGCAAAATTTTGTTTCTGTTGTTTTGGTGAATCCAATCCAGCAAAAATTGATTCATTTTCAGAGAAAACTTTTGATTCTTTAGGTGAACTCTCTTTTCTAATTATTCTTTTCTGTCCAAAATTAAATGAATCTAGAAATTTTTGGCAATTACTAATCCTTGATGGTTCATCATCAGAAAAATGTAATCTTTGACTTTTCTGATGAATTTCTGTATTCTTTGGTTTTATAAACTTATCATTTATATGACCAGCTATAATAGAATCATGATGAACATCCAGGCTGTCTTTTAATTGACTCTCAAATTGAATACTATCAGTTTCAGGAATTAAAGTTTGTTTTTCCAAACCAGAATTATCAATTTTATAATGATTTGCTGAAGGTCTTTCTTTTTTGATTTTTCTTTGAATTGGTTGACTATTTAAATATCCAAAATTTATTGAACCTAAATGTTTTTGCTCATCAACAAGTATTGAAGGTTCATTTTCAGAAAAATGCAACCTTTTATTTTTTTGATTAAGTTCTTGACTTATTTCCCCTGTTTTTGATTTTATAATTTTTCCACTTATGTGTCCTGTTATAATTGAATCTTCATGTTGGATATCAAGACTGTCTTTTAAATGATTTTCAAATTGAATGTCACTAAAGTCATTAACTGAAGATCTTTCCATTTTCAATGTTGAATTGTTCATTTCCTGTCCTTCTTCAGAACTTAATTTCTGAATCATTTGTTTGTCTTCTTGTCTGTCTGAATTTGCAAGATTTTTCATATCAGAAATTTTTGATGATTTATTTTCAGAAAAATGCAACCTTTGATACCCTCGATAACTTTCATCTTTCTTTGATGTTGTAAGTTGCTCATTTACATGTTCAATAATGACCAAACTATCATGATTATCTTTTGGACAACTTTCAATATCAACAAATTCAGGATTAATAACTGTTGGCATTTCTATTTTCAAAGTTGATTTGTCAATCAGTTGCCCTTCTACAGATGTAGAAGGGCATTCTGTTTTGCTCATTTTTTGATTTGGCTTTTCATTTAAGGAAGTATCATTAATTGAATCCAAAATTTTTTTCCCAGCTTCAATTTGTGCTAATTCACCAGAAAAATATTTTTCTTTATTTTTCTGATAATTTTTCCCCCTTTCTGATTTTAAAAATTGTTCATATAAATATCTCATAATCATTGAACTATCATCATTTGTATTTACTGTGTCTTTCAGCTCACTTGAAATATGACTAATGTTGGAATGAATAAATGATGACATTTCATCTTGATTTAGGGGAGAAATTTCCTTTTTCAATTTGTTTTGCTTAGGTTGTTCTTGTAAATGTCTGCTCTTACATGAAACTAATGTTTCATTTTCATCTTCAATTCCTAATAATTTTTCTCTTTTTTTGGTGAAATACAATTTCTGATCCCTTTGATAAATGTCACTTGTCCCAGATTTTAAAAATTGCTCATTTAAGTAGCCTCTAAATGATTTTCCACAATGAGAATCAAAACTTTCAGAATGAATATCATGTACAGGTACACTAGTAATTTTTGATATGTCTGTTTCTGAAACAGAATGTTTTGAAATTTTTAATCTTTTTTCTTTCAATTCTTTTATAAATATTCTTACAACATCCATAAATAAATCAGTCATAGTTTTATCAGTTGAATCTAGATAATCTTTTCTATCACTTGCTTCAAATAATTGTTGAAGAAAATCAGCAAATCTACAAAAAAGTCTCTCATTCTCTAGAGATGGTAACAGAGCTTCATCTGAAATTCTTTCCTGTTTTTCAAAGTTTTTTGTTATCTGATTTTTATAAGTTTCTCCCTTATTATAAATAATTTGTCCATATTTAGGATTATGTTGAATTACCTTTCGAGCAATGGATAACAGTTTTCTAACATTTTGTTTTGAAGACATTAATTCACTTTTTGAAATAGAAGAAACTGAATCAGATTGATAAACAGAAGAACTTTGAGCAAAAGAATCAATAAATTGTTTTTCTTCTAAATGTTCGTCTTGTTGATCAGTTATGAATTTTGCAAATAAAGTTATAAGTATTTTTAACTGTGATTCTTCTAATGATAAATCTTCATCCAATGCATTAGGAAGATTTAAAGTTACAGTTAAAAACTTTTTAACCAAAACATAAACATTTGTAAAACTATTCAAGAAAGTCTGAATGTCTTCACTATTTTCTAATGTATCAGATCTCATGATTATTGTTTGTGTAAGCATAATTGTTAATATATTTAACTCTCTTTCATTCAAGATTAATTGTGATTTATTTTCATCAGCAAATGAATTTCTTGCATTTTGAATTAAAATATTTCTAATACATGCTTTGAAATCTTTTGTTCTTTCACTTGAAAATTTAATTTCTCTACTATCAGTGATTTCATTTTTTGTTCCTATCACAATTGGAATGTTAGAGTCTTTGACTAATTTATTTCCTTCTTCAGTGAATCTGTCTCTTTCTTGTTTATATTTTCCAGAAGAATTGTATATTGATTCTTTTTCAGTAACTTGATTTTTTTGAAAAACTCTATAATCAGTTTCTTTTTTTTCATTCACAGGAAAAGAGTCTATTTTTGATTTTAATTGACAAACTGCATCACTAGTAAACTGTGTTTTGGAAATTATGCCAAGGTCAATTTTTTCTTTTCCAACTTCAGAAGTAAAATCATTATCTCTAGACAAAAATGATGCAGCATTTTTAGATTTAGGAAAATTGCCAAGATCAATATCTTGCTGATCTTTGAATTTCATATCTTCAAATGGATTTAAACTTTTTCTGGTGTAAAACTGTATTTTATTTATATTTACTGCTGGTTGAGATATTTTAGGAGAAGGAGGAGGAAAAGAACCAACATCAATATTTCTGTATCTTCCATAAACTATATCACTTTCTCTTAACTGAAAAGGGTTTTTGCTTTCTCTTACATAATAATGTGAAAAATTAAGTCCAAGAGACGGTTCTAAACTATCATGTGAATGGCTTGAAAATGTCGTTTTGCTAGTTGAGGGTATATCTAATTGTTGATGGCTGTCAGAAGAGTGTTTTGATGATATTTTAGTTTCAATTTTTTCAAATTGATTAATCTCAGGTTGTTTTGGAAACAAAATATTTTCTTTCTTAATCAATTCCTGTTGAAGGCTTGAATCAATTTGAATGCTTTCTTTTATTGATTCTGTGACAGATATATGCATTTCTTCAGTATCAGTGACTTTTGAATCTTGTTTTATTCCATCTTTACTTTGATAAGCTGGAATTTGACTAACAGTTGAATAGGAAATCTTATCTTTATCATAACTTCTGAATTTTAGCTCATCTTTGATTTCAGACATATCAATATCTGGATGTTTTATTTGCTTATCAATTATTATATCTATCTCAGTAATCTTTTCATCAGGAATCTGATATACCTGATTAACATTAGTATCAGAAATTATTTTATCTGTACTTAAAGAATCAAAATCTAACATTTGTATCTCCTGTTTTCTTTGTTTATCAGTAGTTATATCCTCTATTTTTTTCTTCATTTCAGAAACATGATTTATTTGACTAATAGCAGTGTCAGAATAGCTCTTTATTTTTCTGAAATTTTGAGATTTATCAATGGATTTATCAACAATTTTATCTACTTCTATGATTTTTTCTGAAGGAATTTGCTGTATTTGATTAATAGAAGAAGCAGGATATTTTTCAATATCTTGGAAAGTTTCAATTTTTTCCTGTTTAACTTTATCAACAACTGAGTCTATTACTTTGATTTCTTCTTCAGGAATTTGGTATTTTTGACTGACAGCAGTATCTGAAACCTTTTCTATATCTGAAGAAGTTCTAATTTTGTATTCTGGTTTATCAATTATTGAATCAGCAATTTTGATTTGTTCTGTAGAAACTTTGTCTATTTGACTAACAATAGTATCAGAATCTTTTATTTCCTCTTTAGAAATGCTGATTTCATGTTTTTGACTTGGTCTATCCACAATTGTGTCTGTTACTATAACTTCCTCAATTCCAGGATAAAATACATCTTTTGCCACTTCAATATCCTCAGAAATAAAAAGGTCATCAACAGAAGTTTTTTGAGATTGTGCAAAATCCTTAGAAATTTCTTGTTGTATGATATGTTTAAAAGTATTTATATCATGAATAGAATTTAAAATTTTTCTTCCCTCTTTCTCTTTTAACATTTGTAAAATTTTAGAGTAAGTTTTTTGAATATTTATATTTGATTTATCATCTATCAATTCATTAAATAAAAATCTCATATTGCGTTCAAAAATAGCTAAATTTTCATCAAGGCTATAAGCTATATCAGTGGAAAAATCTGAATCTGGTTCCTGCATGATCTTGTCTTCAGAAAATCTAACTTGTTTAGATCCAGATGTGTGTATTTGTTTTATTGTAATAGTTTCTTCAGATTTAGTTTTTATCTGTTCATTAACATCTAGTTGTTGCTCATTTGAGGGACACCTTTCATCTGTTTCAATTATTGATTCAGGAAGAATTTTAGGCAATTCATCTGGTTGTGAGATATAAATAGGAACCATTTCTTCTGTTTTATCTAATCTAGTATGTGGTTCATATATACCTGTTGACTGAGGTAAATCTGCAAATTCCTCTGGTGGTTGGATGACATTATTAATATCTACGTTTTTTGACAATTTTCTAGAATTATATGAAATCCTACTTGTACGTGATCTGCATTCAGGTTCTTCAAGATTACCAGTCTCTGATTTTGCCATGTCAGCTGATGGAGATAGAGCATCTTCAGTAGTGTTTTTCAGTCCAAAAATACAGAGAGGTAATTTTAAAACTATATTTGAATAATTAGACAATTCTATACAATTTGATTCAGTGGATGAAATTATATAAGAAGGATTAGAACATTCAGTATAAATAATTCTTGGAGTTGATATTTGTGATGAGGTGCTAGTTTGTGACGAAGTATGAATATTTTGATCTAATTTATCAGAAGTTAAATAAGACAAGTTTTTTGTGGAATTCTGAGGATAACCAGTAGAAGTAGCATTATTTTGTGATGCATTAGTGAATTTATGGTGTGTCCTATCATGGGAATTATGTACAGTATAAGTATTTTGTTGATCTTGATCTGGCAAAACATTTGGAATTGTTGATAAGCATCCTCTTGTAATATCAGATCTCTGAATTCTGGAAAAATTATGATTAATTTGTGCTGGATAATTTTCTTGAGACAAAAAGATTTGTTGCTTTGTATTTTGGGGTATTTGCTGGGGTATTTTGGAGTATTTGGTAGATTCTTGTTGAGGTAAAGAATATTTTCTTGGGGAAAAAGACGAACTACTACTTTCTTGTGGAACTTGCATTCTAGAAAGTTTATGATGCATACATTTAGGTGTTTTTTTGGCAGTTAAAGAGGAATAATCTTTCTCATCATGTGAAGATTGCACTTTTGAAGGAGTGAATTCAGCTTTTTCAGGAGAATTTCTACTTGCAAGAGGCAAATGTTTTTCTGAATGCAAAGTGTCAAATCTATAAGATTTATGCTGGATTTTTCCAGAATCTTGAGATGATAAAAGAGAATGTTCTGAAATATCTAATTTAGAAGTTTCAGAAGTTTCAATTTGTTTAGGTTGGCTTAAATCTTTGCAAACAAAAGCAAGATGATCATTTGGAATATGCTGATTATAAAATCCATAAACTTTATCAGAAATTTGTTCAGTTTCATTTACATCTTTTGTAGCTAAATATGGATATTCTTTTGAAACTTGATGGATATGTTCACCAGTAATTTTAAAAAGATTTTGTTTACTTTGATTTATTTCTCCTACAGACAGAGGTGAACATTCTTTTTTAACTTTTGAGGAACATAATCTTGAGAATTCATATGCAGATTGTTTAGAATGATCTGAAGTTTTTAAAGCTGAAGAAATGTAGTTTTCTTTATCTGCTATTTTATAAAACTCAAATTCCATATCTTTAGAGAGAGTTTTATCTAATTGAAGATTTTCTTTGGGAAAATGCATTTTATTAATATCTGATGACAGATTTGCAGAATTTGAGCCTACATCATCCTGATATTCTATTAATGCTGCAAATGTTCTTCCTGATGTAGATGAAGTCTTGTTAATTTGTTGAGGAGATTCTGCATTATTCTGTTGTTTGTACAAATCTATACCTGTAGATAAATTTATGTTTGTACTTGTATCATTACTATTTGTAATCATAGATCCAGATGGAATTGCTTTATGTTGAATTGTATCAAATTTTTGTTTTTCTACTGTTGGATAAGTTTTGTTTACTCTAGATGGAACTGAGGATTCTACATGAGAATGCTGTGTTATAGAAGTGTCTTTAATGGCTAGAGACTCAGATCTAATTACAGGAGAATCGCCAAGATTTTTATCTAGAGCTAGACTACCTGTCATCACAGAATTTGGTTTTTGTAATGAAGATGAATTATCAAAAGATTCAATTAAAGGCTTTGTTGTATCTTTGAGTGCAGACATTGATAAATTACCATTTTTAGGTGTCTCTTCCACAACAATAGTAGCTTCTGGATGAACAGATGATGTGTTTGGTTGTTGCAAAACAGGATAAGTATTACCAACTGAAAGTGCTAGATGTAATATAGGAGTTACAAAAGGTGAATTTGGTAATTGATTCATATAGGAAACTTGTGACATATCTAATGGAAAAGCATTAGATATTGAATAATTTGGAATTTCAGGAATAAAACATGATTTAGCGGTTGACACAGGATTTATAGGTGTATTAATTAATTGTAAAGGTTTCATAGAACTGTTAGTAGTAACTGATGAGAGATTTTGATTTTGTGATGTAGACAATGATGTTGATATTTGATGTGATGCAGATGTTGTTGATATTTGATGTGATGAATCAGATAAATCTTGTGTATCTGCTCCTCCTCTAATTCTCAATGGTGGACAGAAAATCAATGGATTTATTGTTAAAAAATTTAAATATTTTTTTGATTCTGTTAATTTTGTATTTAGAGAACTGAAAATTATCGAATAGTTCAATTTAACTGAATTTTGAATTTCAATTAATGTTTTTACAAAAACTGTTTTATAAAATTGTGCATTATTTTGAAATCTATGTATAACTAATATTGTGTTTGAATCAGGGATTTTGATTTTATGTAATTGGTTAAATAAACATAATTCTTGATGAAACTGTATGTTCTGAACTAATAAATCTTTTTGTATAAAATTTAATGATTCCAATTGCTGCTTTTCAAAAGAAGAAATTGGAATATTAATTTGAAATGATTGCATTTTATAATATATTTGTAAGCTCTTATGGATTTCAATTAATGTTTCAATAATAAACAAATAATTAATTTTAAAGTTTTGTATATATGTATTTTGAATTATTTTGAATTCTTGTTTTATTAGTATGTTATGTAGTCTTCCAGATTTATATATACAGATTTGTTGTTTTCTATGGTTTAATAATGGTTCAATTTCAACAAGTCCCATATTTATATTTTGATGAGACTGATTAATAATAATAATATTTTTATTACCTAAAAATCTTCTTTTTGATATATTCAATATTAGTATCTTAAAATTCTGTATATTTTCTTTATTTTTAATATTTGTTACTTTTAGAAAACTATGTTCACTTGCATGATGTAGCATACCTACTGCTTGAATCATTACATCAGGAAGAATATTCTTACCATTAATAAAATAGTTAACATCAGGATGTATAATTATGATATTATTCTGCTCAATTTTATTTGAATGAGTGATAATCATAGTAATCTTTTCAGTTCCATCTAAGTGAAGATGTTTATTATACATTTTTCTTCCTCTTGCTTTAATATTATTTTCACAATTAAAAAGTTGTTCAATTCCATCAGGATAAATGACATTTCCATTAATTTTCTTAGCAAAAATTTTGGTGTAATTATCCATACTGGTAATTTTTGAATTAGCAACACCAATTTCTTTAGATGATTTTTGTGAAATTAATTCAAACTTTGAATTTGTATTGTTTTTTTCTAATCTACTTCTGGTTTTGATATTAGTTATGCTTTCATTATAATTATTCTTCTTCAGTTTTCTATAAATTATCTTATTTAGAAATTTTTCACATAGAAAATTTTTTCTAAGAGTATAATTTTCTATGCTTGCTTTAATTTCATTATTATTTGATTTTAAAATTTCCATGGAATCCACTGATTTAGTTAATTTCTGTACTATAGACTTATTCTTGAAAAAATTTGAAGAATTTGACATTCCTCCTTGTTTTGATTTCTTGTCATAATTTTCAGTAGATAACGCATATTCATCTTTATGTGGGCAAGAATTCATATGAACAAATAACTTTTGCTTAGCAGTTTCTCCATTTTTCAAATCAGTGGAAGAGCCCATCTTTGATGAGTAAGATATTTTTTTAAACTTATTTTTTGATGCAGAAATGTTTTCAGACTTTTTAGAAGCATCTTCATTTTCGTAAACCAATAATTCCAACTTGTTTATATTATTCTCCTAAGAAATTTAAAAAAAAACTATTTATGAGTTAAATAAAAAATATATTAATTAAATAGAATCAATAATAATAAGTATAATATTTTATGATATTTTGATATCATAAAATATCAAATATATTTGATTTTTTAAAGATATCAATTAAATATAAGTCTGATTTAAAAAAATAAGTATTATTTAAAATATAATATACAGTGTATCTGTATTCTAAATTATTTTTTTTGTAATTTTTTAAGTAGTAATAAAATCTTTTTACTTGATTTCTCTTTTATTATACAACAGACCTTAAAATTAATTCTAAAATTTGATGTAACAAATTAAAAAAATAAATAAAAACCATATATGCATATTTATGTTGCTAGGTAATGAGACTGCAGATATAAAAACAAAAAATGCAATGAAAGATAATATTGACTTCACCAATATGTCTTGTACTTTGACATTGTATATAAAAATATTATATACAATGTCAAATATACAATAGGGAGTATAGTCACATCACTTTGTAAATGCAGATGGACAGTGCAGTTGACTTCACAAAGGCTTATAGATCAGATGTATTTTGTTTGTGTTAAAATCTGGAGACCAATTGGTTTTAATAAAAGTAAGTTCATTGTTATCTTCCTTCCCCTTTTTTTGTGTTTTTTAATATACTTAACAATATTTATTATTAATAGTGTAACTGTCTACCAGAATTTGGAAAATGTAGGAGAAACTAAGACATTTACTGGTCCCAGATAATATGTTATACCACATTGTCATTGTTTTCTAATTTAGACTTGATATTTTAGTTTTAGTGTATGGGTTACATTGAGAAATTGTAAATGCAGTGCACTGCATATGTTGGTTATCCTGTTGTATTGGCAGGTTATTATATTTGTTATGTTGTTACCATGTGTTTGTAAGCTGATGAGGGGTCCTTGTACCTGAAATGCATACTTACCTAAATTTGATATGTGATTATTAAAGACCAACCCTTTTTTTTTTTTTATAAAAGTTCTGGTCCTTCTTTCAGTCGGCCTTAGTGTGATAAGCCCTGCAAATTGTTATACCCTATTTAGGTTATCTAATTCTGTCTAATTTATAGTCGTGGGCAAAAAGCATTATTTATTATTATTATTATACAATGTCTCATTAAGTTGTGGAATATTTTATGGATGCATAGTGACAAAGAAAAAGTAATGAGGATATTTTCCCCACCGTTGATCATAGGCTGTCATCTCCAGTCATTAACTTGAATTTNTTTTTTTTTTATAAAAGTTCTGGTCCTTCTTTCAGTCGGCCTTAGTGTGATAAGCCCTGCAAATTGTTATACCCTATTTAGGTTATCTAATTCTGTCTAATTTATAGTCGTGGGCAAAAAGCATTATTTATTATTATTATTATACAATGTCTCATTAAGTTGTGGAATATTTTATGGATGCATAGTGACAAAGAAAAAGTAATGAGGATATTTTCCCCACCGTTGATCATAGGCTGTCATCTCCAGTCATTAACTTGAATTTTTCACTTGCCTGGCTTCTTACAGAGCATTAAAATTTTAAAAGATACCTAGCAAAGTGTAACTTGGCAGACTCTATCTTTTGTTCCTGTAATCTTAACTGTCTAAAGGTAGTTAAATACAATCTACAATTGTACTATGGTAAATATGGGTATGACTGATTTATTTCAGAACTGGAAATCAATTGCTTGAACTTTAGCTGACCTTGGCTACTTCATAAACTAATCTATAAATTCCTTAAAAACATTTTTATTTTTTTCTTTAAAAATACATAGGAAAGTCATTAAATAATGAATTTTAATCTAAAATTTGTGATGTATGCTTCATGAAACATGTTATTGCAGACACAAAATGACTCCTTAGCAATATGCCATATAGAGGTTTTGATGATTGAGCAGTATGTGCTTATGCAATAGCTCACACAACATGGCTGCTTTAATATTAAACTGCAAGAGGAAGAGCAACAGTGTCATTTGTTTTTTAAGGTCAAAGGTAGTAAAATCTGCAATCTATAGGAGAATGAAGGTTCAGTTTGGAGACAGTTGTTTGAATCAGAGGAATTAATGTGTGGAAAGATTTAAAATCAGAAGATAAAACATCAGTGATGAACACTGGAATAGGAAACCAGTTTGCATGGCATGTCAATGGCCCTATATTGATGCACTTTCAGGAAAAGGGTCAAACTATGACTAATGCTTGATACAGTGATATGCTGGTAAATGAGTTGAAGCTTGCAATATGATCAAAACGTTAGACTAGTGTCAGACAAGTGTGAAAACACATGGCTACTATTTTTCCAATTCACAAACATGAAAATTTACAGAGATGAAGTTGGTGGTCAAATGAATGCTGTTTTTCACAAAGTGCATTAATAGTCAGCTTTATTTTGGACACGTATATGCTGACACAGATCTCATAGATTGCGATGCGCTGTTTTTTATTATGTACAGAAGTATTTAAAACAAAAAAAAAAAAATGTAGTATTTAAAAAAAAAAAAAAAATGTAGTATTTAAAAAAAAAAAAAAAATGAATATTGGGTATGCCCTCTTGATTGTAACTGGCCTTCCTTTTTCTTATTTTTGTTTTTATAAAGTTCAAATGTAGTTTCTCTCAATTATGGTTTCTCACTAATTTGTACAATCATTTCACTTATATCAATGTCCATTTTTTGAAAATATGCAGGTACCATACACCCTTTGGCAGAAACAACACTGACCCAGTATTTCTTTGAAATGATATTACCATGTCTGTCATTTTTCATGCTTGTCTGACGACCATAGGCTTCAAGTGTATCTCCCAGCATGCAACAGTCACGCAATGTCACAAGATTATTGTGGACTTGTCCTGTGGCATGGACAAGTCCACAATAATCCATGGACAGTGGCTTGTCCGTGCCATGCAGCATGATTTTTTGCATCCATGTCCATCTGACTGCTCCCATATGTTTTATGCAATCCCATGACATCCATCAAAAACAACAGACACAAAATTATGCTCATCTGACATTAGCCTTAGAAACTTCTCTCAAAAAGGATTTTGCCACATGAGAATGCCAGCCCTATGTGGTGTGCATACAGTGGATACACTAAGTGATCTGAAATTTGGGGTGGTGAAACATCCACAATATAGTCTGGACTTGGCACCATTTTCATTTGTTGGATCTTTGAAAGAACATTTCAGAGGTTCACAAGTTTGCTGATGATACCAAGGAAATAGAGGTGGTGCAAAGTTGGTTAAAGACCAAATCAAAAATCTCTTTCTTGAAGGCATCTAGAAGCTTGTGGACTGGTGGATCAAATGTGTTGTGAAGCAGGATGACTATGTTGAAAAATAAGGCACAAACAATTTCTTCAAGTACCAAGGGTACTTAAAAGAAAATTGTTATAAAATTCCCATTATTTAAATAATTATAAAATTATAATTATATTCAGTCTTTATATTGACTTTTTTTGGGTTATTGTACGAGAGTCATCCAGAAAGTAACAACCGTTTGGTTTTAATAAAGGAAAGAAATATATTTTATTAACAAAAACATGTCACTTACAAAATTCAAGCTTACTTTATTTCTCTACATAATCACCATCATTATTTAAGCATTTGTCATATCCATCCATGAGCTTTAGAATTCCCGTGTTGTAGTAGGCTGTCGCCAGTCCATTAAGCCAGCTGTTTACTGCATTCTTCACCTTGTCATCACTTCCAAAACGTTTCCCATCCAGGAACTCTGAGCTTCATGAAAAGGCTAAAATCGCAAGGAGCAAGGTCCAGACTAAAGGGTGGATGATCAAAATTTTACCATCCAAATCAATCCAGCAAGCCTGTGGTTGCAGCAGCAGTGTGAGAGCGGGCATTGTTGTAAAGTACTATATTATTTTTCCGACTTTCCAACGATTTTCCTTTTAATTATTCCTTTTAACAATTATCGGGATGCTTTATTCTTTTAAGGTGTAGCGATTCCTAACTGGGTTGTGGGGTCTTCCCCCCCTTTTTCTAGGTGCGGAAATAGCCGTTCCCTAACGGGTACTTTACGCGGATTCGCGTTAGTGTGCCAGGCCTGGACTTTAAGCGTGCACCGAATTAAATAATGACAAAGTTTGTCAATAACAAAATCAAATATTTAATTAAACTTCTAGTAATAAACTATATACAGTATTTAGTAAAAATCAAACAATAATTTATTCAATGAAATTCAACAAGAATCAATCCGACAAACTCAAATCAATCTATTTCTAACTTAATTCTATTCCCCTTTGGAATTCGACAAAATCAAAGAATTAACTTATAAACAATAATTCTTATAAATTAAAGATCCTAATCGTCACCTCAATATACTAGGAACCTATTTCCTCAAACTCTCAAGACTTTCTATAATCGTCGATCCACAAATCGAATAACTTCAAAATCCTATCGGACACCTCTCTCGTTCACTGCTACGAAGCTCACCAAAGCTCGTTGCTATCAGGAATTCACCTCGTTCGTTTTCACTTGAGTTAGAGGCTTTATAGTGTGAGGTGACGTCACAATTCTGAATGAGCTCACTCTCCTCATTTACATACTTATCTGTAACATTAAATTTTTCTTGTTTATCTGGCAGATTATTTTCCGACAATACTTCGCTAACCTTTTACATTATTCTTTTTAACAATTATCGGGATGCTTTATTCTTTTAAGGTTTAGCGATTCCTAACTGGGTTGTGGGGTCTTCCCCCCCTTTTTTTCGGTGCGGACTTACTTTTTTCCGCTTGGGAAGCGCAAGTGTGCGCGAGTTTTTCTACGGCGCTTTTCTTTCGTCGGTGAGTTGGTTTTTCTTCTATTTTTAAGTTACTAAAGTGAATGGTGAGGAAACTTCGTCCTAACAAAACATAAGCCCCAAACAAAAATAGAATAATAAGCAAAATAAAAGTAAATAAAAATAACGTTCGGACTTGGTTCCTTACATTGTCATGAAGAAGCACAATACCGCAAGAAAGCATTCCACACCTATGATTTTAGATTGCT